CGTCGGCTCAATGGCTCACCACAACAGGGGCACTTTGGCAAGGATTTAGCCGTTTGGAGGTTCATTTGTGTGTGTTGAGCACCACCACCTCATCTCTAAGCGTTGCCACTTCCCGGCCACGATGAGGCACCTTGCCTTCGGGAAGATGTGGAAGATGTGGTACATAAGCTGGGAATATTCCGTGAAAGTTCCAGCCTCCCAGCTTTCTTGGATCTCAAGTTAGCGATTTTCCGCCAGAAACTTCACAAGGCCGTACGTGAGAACCACGCATGCCTGGAGGTTGGATTTGAAATTTTTGTATTCTATGTGGGCGGGAACATAACTGCAAAGTTTCAGCTTTCCAGCTTTTTTAGTCCCCGAGTTACCGATTTTTCCGCCAGAGATTTTACCCTCTCGTGCTCGGGACTCAGACTTGCGTGGGAGTTGATGCCGCGGTCCAGGGGTGGCACTTGGCCGGGGGACCGGTAGGCAAAATTTTGGTGCTGGAGGCTGCTTGGGTGCCAAGTTGAAATACCTGGACCGATGCGAGCGCGAGCACGCACACACATGCACACACACACGCACACACACACACATACACGCACCATGGGTTGTCACAATAAGCGTTTTCGTATTTGCAAATATGCAAAAACGCATAAAAACTGATAATCAAGCACGCCGAGGTCATACGGACCTGTGGTGCACCATCTTCGTCTCAGCCGACGCTCTTTCCTCCTACGTGAGAGAAAAGGCCATGACCAGTATGAGTTCATGTATTAAACTACAACGCAGGAACCAGCCCTGCTGTCAACGATTTGCAAGTTTAGAGCAAAAACGCATGATCTCACCGACGAGCCTAGTGCATTGCAGCCTGGGTTATGTGTACAACTTGATTTTTGGTGCATTACGAGTTGCTATTAAGCTGACATTTGGTTCGTTTCACTCAGACTTTGCCGGATAAAACACGAAGTAGGTGTCTTCTTGACAAGCCTGAAGTGGCTCTCGACAGTGCCGCTTCCACTGCTACTGTTGCACCACGATGAGGCGGGAATTTTACGGAAAATTTTTCAAAAAATATTGTCTTAGCTATTGCAGTTTTTTATAGTTGTATGCGAGGTCTCAGCAAAGCAATATTAATATACGAAACCAGCTACGTGAAAATATTGCAACAGCAAAACTGATTTTGCCAATTGTTGCTACCATGGATGTGTTGGTAATTTCCGATGCTATGATCAATATATTTATGTTGCCAACAAGGGAAAACGCCGATTATTGGAGGATCCAGAATCATCTGTCTATTTATATCTTTTGTGCAGAAATGCAGGTACAAAGTTATCCCGAATACAATTCATAGATTTTTTTTGCATTTTATAGGAGTTCGGTGCATGATGTTATTCGAAATCTTAAAACGAGAAGCTACAGAAACTTGAAGGCTAAAATTCTGTAAACATATCTCCAATACTTTAAGCGTGTGCTAATAAAAATTTGAGATGAGACAACTATTAGTGGCGTAGTCCAACATAAACCAGCGACAGTTGGATACGTCTGCAGTCTTGCCTTGTGTTTCTGCATTGAGACCTGTTGAATTGATAACCCGTCGAAAACAAAACGAGCGTTGAATTACTATCAGGATAACCACACGGGTCAAAATAAAATAGCCAACTGTATATTTGGAGAATCAGACTTCTCAACGTACAAGGCCGTCAGAAACATTTAATTTTACACTCGTTTCACTGATTATATGAGTAATTCATGTGCTACACAGAGAAGTTTGCAAGCCCCCAAATTCAGCATTCACTTCTTATACTGCACTGGTCTAAGATTTCCTATCTTTCTCCCACTGAAACTACAATTTTTTTTACAAAACAAGTTAGAAAGTCAAAAATTTGGC